CAATATAATTTTTCAAATCTTTCATTTTTCGTATCTACACTAAATAGCACTAAAACAAAAGTCATTTCCCAATATAAGACTTAAACTTTTTATCCCTTAAATAACACTTAATAATATCTAGAAGGAGAAATAATATTCTGTGAAAGTGAACATTTATCTAAATAATGACTAATGNTTTCATTTTTCATTTTTCAAACTTTTTCCCAATATAATTTTTCAAATCTTTCATTTTTCGTATCTACACTAAATAGCACTAAAACAAAAGTCATTTCCCAATATAAGACTTAAACTTTTTATCCCTTAAATAACACTTAATAATATCTAGAAGGAGAAATAATATTCTGTGAAAGTGAACATTTATCTAAATAATGACTAATGGATAATGACTAAAAGTACTTTGGTAAATAAAAAACATATGTTTCTATTTAGGGAAAGTCATTATGTTTTAGTGTTATTTTGGTAAATTTCTCTGACTATGAATGTATAATGGAGTATCAATTATTTCAATTGAACACAACGTAGTTGCCATTTTGATAAATGAATTACGTGTTAGATATAAGTAAATTTTCTAATTTAAAAATTATATTTGAACTTTGAATTATTTACATTGATCATTCCGTATCAATGCCTATATTTTTTTCCACGCATGCATATCATTTTATTTTTAAATATGTACTTACATTTTTTATATTCGCCCATTTCATATCAAATTTATTGCAAAGTTTTGAATTTTTTTAAAAATGTTTTAAATATGAATATATGTTTACTCAACTTTGTTAATATTCGTTCATTCAATTATTTAAAATATTCAATATGTATAAACTATTGATAAAAAATAATTAGTGAGCTATATGCGTACTTAGATAAATCAACAATTACACATTTTAATTATCCATGATTTCTATGAAACATGTGAACGACGTTTAATTTTTTACGGATGCAGATTATAATTGATAAAATATCATGACTATAATTAAAAAAAGTACACATATTTTTATCTTTTATTGGAGTGTTCATTTTCACATGGAGAATTTGTTAAATCATTCTAAAATTGACATCTAATTATAAATTTTGTATAAAACTTTATTTATTTAACAATAATTAATTTATCTATACTAACGATTTAGATATGAACATAAGAAAATTTTTCAATGCTCATTAAAAAGCAACCATATAAATTTTAAATACAAACATTCTAGTCACTAAAATATCCCGTTTGATTTTGTTATTTTAAAAAAATAAAAAATGTTATGTATCAAATTACCTTAAAACAATAAAACAAAATTAAATACATTAAGATAAAACAATATCTAAAGTACCTACCTTTTCTATCCTTTTTTTTGTTGAAGTATTCTTTTTATCTTTTCTCTTAGCTTGCATCTCTAGCTGATCTCGTCCATGTATCGTCAACTTGATTTTCCATAGCCCCAATTGAAATTGAAAAATAGGATGCTCCTACCACCAATCCTTTTAAAAACAAAAGGCAGAAGTTGAATGAACGATTCTCCGCTTATTTATTGCATAATTAATTCTGAATGGCTATGTATTGAAATGGAAAATGAAAATGGGTGGTGGATGTCACATTTCAACTCATTATATATCTCTTTTTATAATAGGATTTTGACCCAAGTATATAAGAGTTTCCATAAATTTGAATATAAAAGTGAGCAATTTAACTCATTGCGAGTAAGATATATAAGTAAGGAATTTAGAAATCATCTTAAATAAGACTAAAACATAGAGAAAAGTACCAAAATAGGACTTTCATGTTTTTTTTCCGGAATAGAACTTTGCACTGTGGTAATGTGACTTTGCATTGTGGTAATGTGGCAGTATACATGTACAAGTTACTATACTTTCTTGGTAATGTATATGACCATGTTTGGTAATGTAAGTCCTATTTCGGAAATAAAAAATGGAAGTCCTATTTTGGTATATTTTCAATTTTTTAGTCTTACTTTGGTCTTTCTCCCTAAGGAATTCAAAATAATATTGGGTTCATCCAAGATATAACGAATTCCTTACTAAAAATAAATGAATTGAGAATAATATTATTGATTATCCAAGATACATAATTAATGATTGTCATATATAAGTAAAGGGATCCAAAATAATATTAGTATTATCCAACATACATAATATAAGTAAGGTGATGAATAATATACTCGTGATCATAATTATCAAATTTAGTACTATTTAGGATTGTTTCTTAATAATATTTTTCGTAAATTTTGTCAATCACCTTGTGTTAAGGAAATAATCTATTCTGGGAAATCATATCATACCATTTATGGCTATGCATGAATCATTTTCTAACGCAGGGCCCTATTAGAATAGTTTCACATTCAATTATTTACTTACCTTTTGTGTTTTACGAAAGACTTTATTATGGTGAGAATTCCTTGGTAAAGGATTAATATATGTAGCATGGTCCTAAAATTCTATTTAAATTAATTAAAAATATTATATATATTTTTTTATTTTTTAAATAGTATTTTATATTTCTTCATATTTATTTTTAATTTTTTATATTATCATCGTAATTGGAGTTCGTATTGTTGTAATCTGAATACATATATTTACATATAATATTATTGATTATCCAAGATACATAATTAAGGATTGCCATATATTAGTATTATCCAAGATACATAATATAAGTAAGGTGATGAATAATATACTTGTGATCATAATTTACAAATTTAGTATTATTTAGGATTGTTTCTTAATAAGATTTTCCGTAAATTTTGTTAATGACCATATATAAGTAAGGTGATCAATAATATATACTCATAGAAGTAAGACAGATAAGTAAGGAATCAAAAATAGTATTGGAATTTCTATTAGTATATGTACTCTATTGATTTCAACCTATATATACACGAATTTCCATTAATAAATCTTTGTTACTTATTAATTTAAGTATGAAATTTATAAATATGGAAGTAAGATAAAGGATTAATATATGTAGCATGGTTCTAAAATTCTATTTAAGTTAAATAAAAATTATTATATTTCTTTTTTATTTTATAAATATTATTTATATTTTTTTGTATTCATTTTTAATTGTTTATATTGTCCTCGTAATAGGAGTTCGTATTGTTGTAATCTGAAAACATATATTAACATATAATATTATTGAGTATCCAAGACACATAATTAAAGATTTTCATATATAAGTAAACGGATCCAAAATAATATTAGTAATATACTCGTGATAATCATTTTCAAATTTAGTGTTATTTAGGATTGTTTCTTAATAATCTTTTTGTAAAAAATAATATTATAATTTCCATTAATATAGGTACTCTATTGATTTTAACTCTTATTATACACGAATTTCCACAATAAACCATTGCAACTTATTAATTCAAGTATGTAATTTTTAAATATGGAAGTAAGATAAAGGATTAATATATGTAGCATGGTCCTAAAATTCTATTTAAATTAAATGAAAAATATTATATTTATTTTTTAAATAGTATTTATATTTTTTCATAATTATTTTATATTATCATCATAATAGGAGTTCGTATTGTTGTAATTTGAAAGAAAGAATTGTCTTGAAGGCCAGTGATTATCGCGTAGAAAATCTACGGCCAATTATTTTCAACGGGAGATCCGCTGGTGCATCGTATATAATTTATTTCCGCTGGTTTACTCGGATATTACGTGGCATGCTTACATGTTTAAATTTTGCCACATAGACATGCCAAATGTCGAATTTCTGTGCATCCGAGTCTCCTTTATTATATTAAAGGATAAAGGATTTAATTTACTTTCTTTTGGTTTTTACCTTTTTTATAAAATTACAAATAAAAACAAGTGGGGGTGTTAATCACAAATAAACACATGCACAAATTAAATTTACAAATTAATTCTAGCAAAGAAAGTGAACTCCAACTGTCTCCATTTTGATTATGAGTATAATTCTTTTTCTATGCCTTTGATAACTTTTGTTTATTTATGTGTTTTCATAGATTATTTGATAAATTAAAACATTCTTGTTATCTCTTGTTTTGTACTCCCTCCGTCCCTAAATATTTGCAACATTTGCTTTTTTAGCAGTCGTGGGAACATTTATTTGTTTCTACGTTTTTATTAGTTACTCCGTATTTGACAAAATAGAATATTCTTGACACTTCTTATTTTGAAGAACTTTTCATATAATTTTTTGATATGTAAATTTTATTTTTTACTTCTATACCAATTGATGGATACCCGGGAATAGGGGTTTCCGGTCCAACGGCAAAAGAGGCCCAGCCCAACCACGCTAAGGCCCACTTAGCTGGACTAAAGCGAGAATAATCTGAAGACCTAGGAAGGCCACCTCGGCAATTGTTCACGCTCGGCCTCGGCAGGGTTGGCCGTCCTCGGACAACCTTTGGCCGGCCTTCCATCAGGGGACTTCCAAAGATAGAGCACACACTCGGCCTCGGCCCGGGATGCCAGCAGACGAGGTCCAGACAAGGGAGCTGTCTAAGTAGTCAAGATCAAGAGGCCCACGATTGGACCCCTACCATACCTCTGACAGAGTTGTTCTAGTCACCTTATTTGTATAGCAGCCTTAGGGACAATGATGTGGTTAGGCGCTGCCAGTGAACAACCCAATCTTAGTGGGCCCAGACCGTTGGACTCCGGACCAATGGTCGGGAACTCTATGTTGTAATTCGCATATAAACCCCTTCCAAAGAAAGGGGGAGTGACATTCTAACAAGCACAATAATACTCATAATTTACTTGACCCCAAAACTTGTGCACTCTCGACTTGGTTCGATAATCTTCCGCCTAGTCTCTTAGGCCCCGGCTTCCTTATCTCAACACCAATATGTGAATAAAATGAATTGAAAAAGCTTGATATTTTACCTCGAAAATACAAATGTGTCAAATATTTAGGAACAGAGGGAGTAAAACTTTGGAAATAGTTTTTTGATATTTAATTTTTTTTCTTATTGAGGTACCAATTTATAAATAAAATGATTTTAAAATAATTGGTATTTTTGTATTTCCTGGCTGCTAGCCTGCTACTATGGTACGGAACTACTGACACCCAGAATTTGTTGCCAACTTGACACTTGACAGTCTGCCAGAGACAGAGTGTTCTCGTGTGACGGGGTTTGTTCTTGTTTCAATGGCCTGCGGCGATTCATCAGAATCTACAAACGGCGCCGCAATCTGTCATACAGGCGGCATAAACGACCGCCTCGGAGATGACGAGCTCCGGGCCGTGCTGGCAAGGCTGGGCAGCGACAAGGACAAGGACAACTTCGGGCTGGTCTGCAAGCGGTGGCTCCGCCTCCAGAGCGCCGAGAGGAAGAGGCTCTGCGCCAGGGCTGGTCCCCTCATGCTCCGGCGACTCGCCGCCCGCTTCACCTGCCTTTTCGAGCTGGATCTCTCCCAGTCTGTCTCCAGATCCTTCTACCCTGGCGTTACCGACGACGACCTTTCCGTCATCGCCACTTCATTCACTTGCTTGAAACTTCTCCATCTTCGAAATTGCAAAGGTCGGTTTCCCTAATTCTTGCCTGAAGATTGTTTTTTTTAAAATCAGAATTGATCACTTAACTTTAGGGTTATTGACGAATATGAAACATTCTGTAACAATTGAATTGGTCTCTTGTTGATCTAGGTTCCTTAAACAACGTTAGAACACAAAAAAAACATTGCAGATTTTCTTACAAGTTTCATTCATCACAAATGTATGTATTCACACAAGTACAAAGGGAAAGGATTTTGGGTGTGTTTGATTTAGCATAGTCATCAATAAAATTATCATTGATACCCCTACTTGAAAGTAGAGAGATTGTTTCCAAGAGAAACGACCCGATCAATAAGCTTAATTGTTGCAATTTTTTTTATACAAAAAGAGATCTTAGATGACAACCTGATCAACACCATCTCAATCCAAATGTTAGATGAAGCGCAACTTTGGTTAGATCAGATGATGTACGAAGATGAGACGGTGGAAATGAATCGTTTCAAAGAGCTATGTATTGAGATTTCGATCTGGCCCATGAATATGGATACATGGAGAATTCGAAGTTATATATGTACACGAGAACACTAGAGGACTTTTGCACCCAACACCAACTGGCCCTTTTCATAGCTGGACTAAATCCAACTTATACAAGTGGACATTCAATTTGCCAAATTGCATAACATGGGCTATGCCAGGAATTTGGTACATACACTTCCCAAAAACCCATGTTGTGTTCCTTTAACAGCCTTGCAGTTACACATGTGTCCATCGACTAAGCGAGATCTCCAGCCCCCAAGGCTGATAACCCCATTCTGTGAAGGCAATCGTTGTGCCCGTGGGCTTTGCTACAATTGTGAAGAGCAATGGACTGTCCCACATAAATGAAAGCTGTTCTTCATCAAAGCCCATTACGAGAATGAGACAATGGAGAAACCACTAGATGGGTTGTCACAATTGCGAGCCCACACTTGAGCTTGCTGAAAAGCTCAAATTTGAGGAGGGAGTGGTGTTACAGATCTTTCAATTTCTGTCGTTTGCCCCAAACCCTTTATTTTGGTCAATAATTGACACACATGCAAGCACACACATTCAACAAAAAGATACATTTTTTATTATAAAAGAAAAGGTAAGTGCGGACAAAACCAGATTGCCCGGAAAATGTAACGAGTGAAATGAAAAGTAGAAATGTATAAGCAAATGAGGGATTTATTTTCACACAATAAAACCCGGATGAATATCATTTTAGTAATTGTTTAGCTTTGGGAGAACCTTTCGAGGCCTTTTTCCGTCTGCTCTCATTGGTCCATGGGTCCCTGATAAAAAAAGGCTCTTGACAGGTTTTTGTGGTGATGATGTGTTCCATCGTGGTTTGTTTAATGGAGGTCCAGTATTTTGGGAGGAAGCTTACGATTCCAACTTAGATCTGAAGTGACATAATTTCTAGTATGAATGGAACTGGGTTCGCTAGACTTTTTCTCTGCGTTCTTTGAGCAATTATTAACAACTTTTTGTAAACCGTCCTCATCATCCTGTAGATGGCATTGCTGAGGCTTTGTTCCTTGTTGTAGAATTCCATGCTAGCTTCTAAAGTTGGACCACTAAAGTTGGGCCAGCCTCAGAAGTGGGCCCACTAGAGGCTTTTGCTATTCCACCGTGGACAGGGGCCCTTGGGCAGATCTCCACTCTTTGTTTAAGTTGATTCATCATTGCATTGTGACCATTGTCATGTCTTGTATTGTCGATCGCTGTCTGGTAGGTACTTGAAACCTGCTAAATCAGAGAACTAGGGGGCGGGGGAGTTGGTGATCTAACAAGGGTTGAAGTTGTTGCAGTTGGGGATTAGATTTCGTATCACTATTTCCTGGGGTGGAATTTATAGTATTGACTGTACATAGCTGTTTAGAAACCGAAACTAAGTTCTCTAAATTGGGATATCACTTTGCTTATAATCAGAGTTGCCAACCAGTATCCTCTTGGGAAGAAGGCTGTGTGCCCACCCTGGTGGAGCGAAATTCTCAATTAAGATGAGGCTGTCACTTGAATTCATTGACAATGGAAGAGATGGGAATTGGGCCGTGCGGCCTTCTGTATCCTTCCCTGGTAAACAGTCAATAACATCATTCCAAGGAGGCAGAAACATCCAAAAAATTAGTAACCGTAGGAAAATATGGTTCAAAACTCACTGTGCAGTTATTATTGGTGAAGTTCTTCACTGGTAAACACGCAATACCAGGGGCAGACATATCAAATAAGTTTTTAATCATAGGTGAATCGGGGGCCAATTGCAGATGGCCATTATTATCTGTCAAATTCAGATGCATAGGAGCCTCATTAGAGTTTGAATTAGGATCAGATTTGGCCTAACTTCCTAACTCAACTGCTAATGTCTCAGGGGCAGTAGCATGATCAACATGTTTATTCTTGGAAATACAGGGACAAGGGGTGGCCTTAAGTTTTGCAGAAACCACATAAAGGAGGGACATTTCATAAATAATGTGTTGAAGAAAGGTCTTACCATTACTAAAGCTCCTTAGAGACTGAGGCAGAGATTTAGAAATTTCTATTTCAACACAAACGTGAGCCACTGAGGGCCGAGAGGGATTAGCAGTAGCAGTGTCAATTTTCAGAGGGGTGCCAAGCAACGAAGCAATAGCTAAGAGAGCAGAATTATGAAATATGTGCACAGGACCCTCTAAACCAACCCCAAATGGGGGTTAGAAGAGATGGAAGATTAGGATCAAATTCATTTGTTTAGTGCGGAAGGGGAAAACTGCATATCACCCATTTTTTACTTATCAGACACCAGGGGAAGTCATCTTCAACACAACAAAATAAATACTCCCTCCATTCCATATTAACTATCCATTATGACTTTCTTGATACATTGAAAAAGTAATGAATGTAGACACACTTTATGTCTACATTCATTCATTTTTCAATGTACCAAGAAAGTGTTAATACACAATTAATATGGAATGGAGGGAGTATGTGGGAAGCATTTAGGAGCCCAATAGAGACAGTATCTTTGAATTCTATAGATTCAAACCTCTTACAAAAAGAGGGCAACGACGGCCTTCCACGGAGAAATTTTCCAACAAGGCTGAGTTTGAATCTGGCAGATAGAGCATGAACTTCAACCCCGTAAAAGGAAATCGTTGGGACTTGGGAGGCCTTTAAATCTTGAGCCAACTTGGAGCTGAGGCTTAGAGGTTGAGTTGTCTCCGGAGAGTGTGTGCTTCCTGTACCCCCTTCTCGGAGACCATGGTCGCATAAGTCATGTAGAACACAGGGGAGTAATTGACAGGGTAGCAAAGTTACCGGTAAACCGGCAAAGTTGGAACCATGACAGTGGAGGCAGCCAGCATGCTGGTTTTCTAGAGAGAAGGCGGTACCCCATCGATGGTTTGATCTCAAAAAGCTAAATCTATATGTGTGTGTGCGTGTGTTTGTCTATACACACACACACACACACACACACACATATATACACACAGACATACATACATACATATATATATGTATGTATGTATGTATGTATGTATGTATGTATATTGAATAAAAACTATTGTTGTATATATTAGCATTCTTACTGACTCGCTATTATCCCACATTTCCACTCATTTAATTTTGCAAATGGTTGGTTTGACAATCCTTTCAATTGTTTTCATTTTGTTTTAAAAATTACTTGTCCGAACCGGCATGCAATACATTTTTTGTTGGTGCGGAGGGGGGGCTCTATAATTTTTTGACCTATTACTCTGTTTTCCAATTTTAAAAATTTCTCCTTCTAAGTATATCAACTATGCGCTCAGATATGAACTTAGCATATTGGGCTTGCATTTGTGGATTTACAGGCATAACTGATGTGGGAATGAAATCCATTGCTTCTAGTCTCAGCTCTTTAAAGTTCTTAGATGTATCCCACTGCAGAAAGCTCACAGATAATGGCCTATCAGCTGTTGCTAGAGGTTGTCAAGAACTTAGAACCTTGCATCTTATTGGCTGCAAATTTGTGTCCGATTCATTATTACGTGCTCTGTCAGAGAACTGTTTTAATTTAGAGGAATTGTCTCTACAAGGATGCACGAACATTACTGATTCCGGCATAACAGTTCTTGTTGAAGGTTGTCGTAGAATGAAGCACTTGGACATCAACAAATGCAGCAACATTGGAGATACTGGTGTACTTCATGTGTCGAGAGCATGTTTCGCAACTTTGAAAACATTGAAGCTGCTGGACTGTTTTAAAGTTGGCGATGAGTCAATTTCCAACTTGGCCAAATACTGTAGAAATTTGGAGACGCTCATTATTGGTGGCTGCCGGAACATAACTGACGAGTCTATGATATCACTGGCTGCTGCTTGTAATAATAGTCTGCGGATACTACGAATGGATTGGTGTCTAAGTGTATCAGACATTTCATTGGATATCATCCTATTCAGCTGCAGAAAGCTTGAGGTTCTTGACATTGGGTGTTGTGAGGAGGTAACAGATTCTGCTTTTCGGCAGCTAGGAAGTGAAGGGTGCAAGTTGGCTTTGAGGGTTTTCAAAGTAAGCAACTGCCCAAAAATCACTGTTGCTGGAATAGACAGGCTCTTGAAATCCTGTGATTCTCTTGAATATCTGGATGTTCGGTCTTGTCCGCACATCACCAAAACTCGCTGTGAGGAGGCAGGGCTGGGGTTTCCCAAATCGTGTAACGTAAATTTTAACGGGAACATAGCAGAACACGAGGTTTGAAATATGATTTGAAATATTTCCAAATATGATTGGTAGAAGTGCTGATGATCCTTTTGCTACCAGTCTTTCCATCATTCTTTATTGGGTGTTGCTGTATTCACTCTCATTTTGGCTAAATCCATTCTATTTATGGTAAATTGACAATTGTACCCTTAATAATACAAAAAAAGGCGTATTTAGCCAAAATGGGAGTGGATAAAAGGTGTATTTATCCCGCATTGTTTGATGGTGTAATTGTAATGTACTCCCTCCGTCCCAAATTATTTGCAACGTTTGCTTTTTCAACAGTCGCGGAAACTTTTGTTTATTTTTATGTTTTCATTGGTTATTTGATAAAATGTTCTTGCTTTTTGATATGTAAATTTTATTTTTTTATTTCTATACCAATATATAAATAAAATGAATTGAAAAAAGTTGATATTTTGTCTCGAGAATACAAATGTGGCAAATATTTAGGAACGGAGGAAGTATTAATTATATGTTGCTTCTCTTTCACTGATTTGTAGTTGAGTTTGGTGTTGATAATTGTATTGTATGTGACTGCTCTCGGTTGGATTTGGATGAGGCTGTGATAAAATTGACTTTCTGCTAAGACAAAACTTATGTCTTTGGCCATACATTTATAGTTGATTCACATAAACGATAGAGCCAAGTCCCAAAATAGTGCTTGGTACTTGGGGTGTTTTCCAAATTGGTTTCCAACACATAATGGACTATTAGTCCCCTAAATGTGAGAGTGATTCCATGGGTAATCTTCAGTGAAAAAACAAGTGGCTATTAAGGGAGGGTTAGAAATGTCTTTTCCATTAGCCTCTTGCCCTTTTATTTTTTAAAAAACGAAACCCTCCTCTCGCATTCTCATTCCAATCAACTAAATGTAAGTATAAAGTGTTACATACGAATTTGGAAGTATTATATAAAATACATTACCCAACCTTCACTTTTTTTTAAATATGTGTATTTTCCTTACTATATTAGTTTTATTAGATACTTATTTTTTTTATCTTTGATACTAATAAAAAAATACAAATAGCAAATTGAAAATGTGACGGCATATGCAAGATGATATTGAAATTTAATTAATGGAAGAGTGAAAAACACAAATATAATATCTAATAGTATAATATAAAATATTATTCTTTTAATTATAGTTAACCGAGTCATTAACCCTTGGATTGATTGGTTAATCATCGACCCACTAGTTCATCCGAACCGATGTCTGGTCTAATTTTTAAGACAATTGTTTGGGAAGATAAGTATTTATAAACTCTCTACTATAATATTGACATATTGTATGTCATTTATTTATTTAAATATAATTAGCTTATGCACTTAAATTTATTACTACCTCCGTCCCACTATATTCGTCCACTTTTGACTTTTGGAACTGTTCATCTAAGTACTTTGACTCATCAAATTCTCTCAATGTGTAAGCCTAAATATAGTCATGTGTGATCTTGTTTGATTTGTCTTAACATATAGATTATTAATATATAATTTCTATAATTTTTTAATATACAAATTACAAGATAAAATGGATTAAATAAGTGCATTGGATGGTGTGTAAAAATGAAAGTGGACAAATACTCTGGGACGGAGGGAGTAATACATTAAAAATAAGATCTTAAGAGCCTCTTTTTCTGTCTCGGCCCAGGCTATCGAGTTCTCAAGGCCGGCTCTGATAGGAACCAATTCATTTTCGGCACTTCTAGAGTCCCCATGAAAAGGCGTCACTGGATCTCATCCCTCATTTCATGCATCAACATGTAAGTTTAATAAACTTTAAGATGATCATTAGGGTTAGTAGTTCCCTTAGCCCCCCTGAGGTAGCTTCACCTTCATTACCTTATCTGTGAATGGAGAGATTACCTCAAGAGTTTGTCTCACCTATCCACCCTTATTCACGTGCCTCTTCAGCACTTCCATATCCTTCTTCAAGTTGAGGATCTCCATAATATCTTGGTTGGGGCTCTAAGAGCATTCCCTAGATAGCCTCTTCTGTCCGCGAGCCCAATCTTTGGGAGGTACTCTTTTTTATCCTCTTGTGGACGGAGACCTATCTCTGGCTTTCAACCTCCTCCTTTTGGCCTTGGCTTTCCTCCCGTTGGGTTTGGAAGTATCAAGCATCTTCTTCCTTGTTCAGACATCCAATCAATATTTGAACAATGGGAGAGTTTGCATCAAACTTCTCCAAAGGTGCCCATGATTTTTCATTATCCACGAGAACTTTTTGGAGCCTTCGAATACAAACTCTGATGGTAGGATTCTTCTGATGATACCGTCTTTGATTTTGACATAGTTATCTGATGCGTGAGATCTCCTTCTTTTCCTCGAAGCTTGATCAAGTCTTAGATGCGTCACAATTCCTTCTGGATCTGTTCATGCCCATGATGGAGAAGAAGCGAAGGAAAGGGCTACTTCTGAGAATCTAGAGAGGGCTTACACAAGTCAAGAGAGTCGTTTGGATGGACCGCGAGAACACTCTTCCATTTGTTGTGTCACGAGGCTAGCTAATTTCCAAAGGAAAATTTAGGGCTCGCTGGATGAACATTTTGATCTTACAGACGAGGCTCGCTTACGGAAGGATGAGGTTCTTCTTTAAGACTGGAACACTTTTTTTTTGAATATCTGGTCTCACGGGTGGCACCAGTGATGAATCGCTGATATTTTTCCTGCGACTATTGGGCAGTCCAAGGTCCAAATATCAATGGGCCTTGCAACAGTAAAAGAAAAGGAATATAAGAGTAGATAAATGTTGGAAATGGATCGCATACAACAAATGTACTCAAATTGACGTCCCATTACTCAAATAGGCCTCCGTCCATACTGCCTCAATCATGTTCGTAGGCCTTTTCTCCATTTCTTATATGGAGGCGCTGTCCTAATATTCAAGGAATGGACTGTGCTAACATCTTGGCCCGTTCCTTTCTTTGGACCGGCTCTCTAGCCCAATCTTTTCTCTATCTTGGCGTCCTCCAGGACTTAATCCTCTCACTTTATGGACTCGGTCTCAAGCTGGACTCGGTCCAAATCTTTCTTATCTCATATGGGCCGGGTCTTCTACTCTTATGGACTTTTACAGGATATCTGGATACACCTTAGGTCCGGCTTACAAATTATTTCGATGAGCCCGGTTCCCATCAGAACCCAATAAACGATTTTCATAAACAAAATAAAAATAAATTATACTGTAATATTTAACCGATAAAAGGCTTTCACTAGTTGAAGTTGTAAAACATACAAGACAAAATGTAATTGATGACTAAAATTTTACTAATTATGTTATATATATATATATATATATATATATATATATATATATATATATATATAATTTTATTAATAAAATATTGAATATATGATATAGAATTTATGATGAAAGAACTAAAATGCAATATTGAGTATACTTTAGATTTTTATTTTTTTAAGTTATTTAATAGTTTGGATATTTATAATTTTATCAAATTATATTTCCTCCGCCCCTGAAAACTTTTTCTATTTTAACTTGTTTTGGTCGAACAGTGACATAATTTGACCATAAATTAAATATAATCTAAGTAAATAAATGATATAAAAATTTTATATACTAAAATTATTTCTTAAGATGAATCCAATTTTATTAAGTTTATATTATAATTCAATATACTTTTTACATAATTTGTATTAAAAAATGTTACTCTTTGACAAAAAATAATTAAAGTGAAAGAGTATTAAGAAATGAACAAAATAGACCGGATGGTAACTTCCTCAGGACCTTGCTCCGAACAACCAACCCCGGGTTCCAAGACCCATTTGCCTGTATTGCTTCCTTCGACCATCCTCCACCGCCTCTTCCTGATAGGCGACGCAACTCCAGCGCCAGGGAGCAGCCGGTTCCGGCCAGAGGCTGAACTCCAGAAGCCTGTCGCCGCCGGCTCGCCCCAGCCGCCAGTCCGCCACTTATTTCGGGTATAAACCCCTAATTTTTCTATTTGTTCTATTTCTTCAATTCAAACTTTAAGGGTTTTTATGAGATTGTGATTATTGTTTGTATTTGGTTTAATTGGATAGGATTTTTGATAAATGATAATTTATTTTTGGCATTTGTAAATTTGGGGTTTATTTTTTAGGTTTGAAAATGGACGGTGAGTTGGTGTTGATTTAAATTTGTCAATTTGAGAATTTTTTAAAATTGTGTTTATTGATATTTAGGATTTGAAAAAAAACGGTTGCTTGTTTGGATTTTTTTTTTGTTTTTTTGTTTATATTCTTACTTAAATGAGCTACTGGACTCAAATCAGCAGCTGCTAGACTTTTTAATAAATTGTGAACCGGTGACCTTTGTTTCTTCGAATGTTGTTTCTTTAGTTAGTTAAGGAAAATGATTTATCATGTTATTGTATACTTAGCTTTTTCTAATGTCGGTTTTATGGGTTGTAGCATACTACACAATGGACTTTTGTCATTCCTATAATGGTATGCTCTAACCAGATCATGTGTATTAGCCAATAGTAGGGGTGAGCAATTTAACCGAACCGACCGATTAACCGATACAATTTAACCGAACCGACCGCAATTTTAAATTCGGTTTCGGTTTTCGGTTTTAATATAAAAAATATTCGGTTATCGGTTTTGGTTTCGGTTTTGGGCAATGTTAACCGAAACCGACCGAATAACCGAGCCCATAATATGTGCATTAATTATTTTAAACATATATAAGCCCAAACCAAATCTTTTAGTTACAGCCCACTTAAAAAAGCCCAATTCCCAGCCCTTCCCAACCCGTCTCCCAAGTCGGCACTCGATCGGCAGAAAGTCCCAAATTCCACCCTGTGTCGTTCTCTGGTTCTCGTCTTCTCGGTCCTCACCAATCGGCAATCACCATCTCCCATTTCTCAAACCGACGCCATTCACGCCAAGATCTAATCGGCAATCACCATCTCCGTTCCGGCGTCTCTAATCGGCAACCATTCCGGTTTACAATTTTCCATATTTATTACTTTTATAAACTAAATAAGTATTTATTTATTTTATTTTATTATTTGTTTTGTATGAAAAAATCCACTTGCCCACCCCCGGCCAAGATACATAAATTCTGGTGTAGTGGTCTTTTAAAAGATGTATGCAGTAAATTATATTTTTATTTTTTAAATTTACAATAATACTTGAATTAATAAGATGAATTGAATTGTTCATGATGAGAATCACTTGTTGAGTTAAGCATAATACCAATACGGAGTGAGTATATTGAAACATAATCACTTGTTGCTTCATATATGCATTAGGCAGTAGGTTTATGGATTGAAAAATTCAGTTATTTCGAACCGACCGAACCCGATCGGTTTTTACTCGGTTCGGTTTGTTCGGTCGGTTATTATGAGTACTTTTAATTTTCGGTTTTGGGCCGAAACCGACCAAACTGAACCGATGCTCTCCCCTAGCCAATAGGGTATTTGATCATGTTAGGTTCAGACCCGTAGACCCGTGGAATTGACCCGTTTCAAACAAGCCGAGTTAGGGTCGATTACATCAACAACAACAACCCAAGTGAATCCCCCAGCAGCAGGGTTAGGGTCGATTCTAATTATATTTTTTTGACGACCTGCCCCTACCTGCTCTGTATCTATATAAACAACTTGGGGCCGGGTTTGTAAAAAATAGGCCTGAACCAACCCATGCCTACCCCTAGGTGCTGTAACATCGCGCTCTAGAGTTTGCGGCGACAATAGACAGAGAGGCAATCTTCATATAAATGAATCTACTCTTGTATCTTGAACACATTTATCTGTAATTCATCCATCTGTTCAAGCAGTTGTTTTAATCTCCAGTTAGGTTGCCTCTCAAGCAGTTTAATCAAGATGCATTCTATCTCATCCCAATCTCATATGCTTTCTACAATTATAATGTTAATCATTTATGGAATTATATACATAAATAGTCCTCGTGGTCTTCCATAAGTGGGTAAGTAATCCTCGAACTTTCAAAAGCTGCAAAGTAGTCTCTATGTCAAAGGACTCTTGCATAATTTGTCTTTTCTTTAGGGAAAACGTGAAGCGCGCAAAACAAGTGCATACTATGCACTATGCACTATGCAGATTTGAAGCACGTAACAAAATAAAGAAGCTAATCTGAAGAAATTGCCCTCATCTTTGTGGTTAAAAGCAGGGAAGGATCTTCTTCCATCTCTTATACCGCACGGCATTACCCTAGAATAAAATTACTTGAAGAATGAAATGATGTCGAGCTTATATAGAACATTGTATTATTGTTCAAGACGATCACTATGGAAGACATGAAGTTGTGAGAGTTGAACCAAAAGATAGAAGACATTGTATTACGGTTCAAGCTTACACATCACAATTCAAACTTTGAACCAACTTTTTTTACATGCTTCACATATTCGCATAATACGCGTGTGGTTTGCGTGCTTCACCTTTTTATTTAAGGAAGAACTAATTATGCAACAATTCTTCTACCACATGGACTATTTTGCAACTCTTGAAAGTTCGAGGACTTTTACCCACTTATAAAAGACCATGGGGAGTATTTATGCATTTAACTCATAATTTATAGTATTTCACTGCTGTAATTTGTCATACAAGTGCTACAACTGGATATAGGTGTGCGACTTCCAGTTGTCTGGATAACACTTTGCTCTATCAGTCCATGAAAATGATATAATCTTGAATGTCAAGCTCCAAGTCAGCAAGCATCGTGGGCCAAAGATCATATGAAGTAATCCAATCTTTAAATGTCTTTTTGTCATTTCAATATCTGTGAAGCCTTTTTTCCTCAGTTACTTGCTCATCATGGTTTAAGTTTCTCTTATGCGGAGTATTTCATTTTTGAGGATTCAATTGTGTTGTTAATAGTAAGGCTATAGAAGGAAAGTTCCATATGTTGGTAAAAGGCAAGGAAGCACTTTCTAATTCTCTTTGAAGAACGAAGGTTATTGGAAGTGTAGGAGTTGAGTTTGTGAAAATAGGCATAACATGTTTGCTCTTAGGTTAAAAACTTTATGGTTACGTTATAAGTTAAAACATGTGTGAAACGTCAAGACCTTGGTGATTAAATCTTTAGAATCTCCCCAAGTGGAGGACCATAGACCAAAGTCACCAAACGTATCTTCACTAGGCAAGTAATTAGTGATCTATATCTCTAAGATGTATATTTATTTTGTTGTCTTATTTTAGCCGCTTCTGTGTATGCTAATTCACTTTCTTGGAAAGTTCACAGACGATTTCTGTTATGCTGAACTCAGAGCTCACGCACATCAAATCCACTTTTTCGATTTCCCTACCACTATCAATCAGAACTGAATCCATAATCTACTCGCAAATTTTTTATAGGCTTTGCAGAATTCACAGCAGACCTTAACTTCCAATTGCCTTATGATGCAGTTATAAGGATTTCAAAGATGGCATCATCAAGTCGGTCTGTAGCTGCAGGAGACTTGCAGGTGGTTTCTGTGGAAGAGAGGACAGTAGCTTCTCTTCCTCCTCGACCCCCGACGTCTTCCTCTAATGCTTTAGTAGAATACACGCCACCCGCACCCAACATTGAAGAGGAGGACCTCGAGGTTAAGCTCCGTCGTATTCTTGATTGTGTCCCTGTCCGTGTGAGCAATACTTCTGGTAGCTCTGCTGGTTCAGGTTCTGGTGACTTTCATCAGGTAATTGAAATATTGAACTCACAAACTTTGTTTTACTTGGAGTGTGACGTTGTTCCAAATTCAGACATTGTGAGGTTTGGATGTGATGCATCTCTGACTTATTTCCTGAAAGTTGTCTCGTTTCTCCCCTGCTTGCCATTTCTTTCATTGTTTGTCAAGCTTGTGTAGTTTCTTGTGTCTTAACGAGTTAACACTATGTTTTGTTCAAGGAACTTGGAAGAAAAGAAAATTGTTTTCTCTCATTTTCCCTCCCAAAATAGGATGGATTTTGTTTTCCCTCTTAGTACATTTTGCCTTCTTATTTTCTTTTCTTTTCCACTCTAACCAAACAAGAAAAAATATTTTACATCTCATTTTCTTTCATTTTCCCTTTTGAATTCCTTAAACCAAACATAGTGTCAATGATTCTGATCAATTTCTCTTTTATTTGTAGTTTGACTTGCTATCATGTTTCATTAATTGCTACTAAGATGCATAAGCTTATGTGGAATCATGGTAAACTTTAGTCGTAAAAAATTCACGTCTAATGATACCGTTTTACAGTAGAAGAGGGATTAATAGAATATTTTAGTGGTAGGGTATGGTTGGGAAGGCGGATTTTGAAATGCATTGGAACGGATGCATTATTACTCATTTGAAACAAATCCTCATAAGAATTATAATACAGTACTCCCGCTCCTAAATGGTTTGCACAGTTTGACTTGCACTTAAAGTAGGAGTGAGTTAAAGTGTGTTATGAATTTGTGTGGAGCTATTTAATGTTGAAAAAGAGCATTGTGTCAACTTGATGGAAAGTTTAATGGGAAAGTTGGTAAAAAAAGTTGATGTGAAGGAGAGAGAACTGTATAAAGTAATTTGGAATGCCCCGAAAGGAAAGTGTGCAAAGTAATAAGAGATTGGGTATAAGTGTGTAACCCAATGTCCCCACTATATATTTAACACCACAAACCAATGAAACCATATATACACTCCATGTCCCATAAAAAAAGTTTCAAACACATTTTGGTCCCTTAAAGGGGTTTTGTTTAATCAAATGTAGCTAATTCAAGTGTAATTTTCCAAAAAGGAGTCAAACACAAGTTACTCCCTTCATCCTAGAGTGTTTGTCTTATTTTGACTTTTTGCATTCAACCAAAATCAACTTTTGACCTATAATTAAATAAAAATGTATGGTATATTAATTAGATAAAACAATTTTATGAAAATATTTTACAAGATAAATTTAATAAGGAACAACACTTCATGATTCTTTTTAAAACATTGTACTTGTGGAACATGACTCTTTTTATGGTATAGAGGTAGCATTGTTCTCTTAATTCAAAAAATAAGGAACAACACTTCATCTCCCGTCTCCATTCTCTTCTGAAATCTCCTCCCAAACATACCTTAAGATAAGTAGGTACGTTGATTGCAGCAGCTATGATGGAATCTTGGGGATGGTGGGTGGTGGGCAGAATCGTGAGTATGATTGCTCAGTAGGACTTAACTGGCAGAGAAACTACTTTGTTGCTTTATTGATGCTAAGAAGGTGAAATGTTTGCTGTACGTGAAGGATTGCTGTAAGTTGAACATATTATGAAATTACGAAACCCGGGATTTCAGTAGTTAGCATGCTTTTTAGGTTGATGAAACACAAACAATGACCCGAAATTTTCATGTTAGTTACTTGTTTTTAAATAACATGTAAAAAGTCAAAGAAACTTGTTATTGTGATTTGTGAAAATTTTATCCTATTGAGATTTGAGACGAGTGGACAAATTTTCATCCGTAGAATAGGAATTAGAATATCCTTATCTCAAGCATTTGCATTCTTTAGTTCACTTCATATGGGGAGGGCTGTTCAAATTTTACTATGGAAACAACATTGTCTTCTGGTTAGTCAGGGTCAGTAGGAGCTAGCTTAAATAACCAAACACTTTTTTTGGGTTTTAGGTTTTACTTAAGCTGTATGCGAATTCTCTGGTTTTACTTAAGCTGTATGCAAATTCTCTGGTTGCAGTATCGACAGATGAGACGAAAAGAACAAGATCGGCTTGCGAGGATGGATGCTGATTACCAGAAAAGAAAGGAAATAGCCGAATTCAACAGAAGAAAAGAGGAACGAGTGAGAGCCGCTGAGGAGCGCACTGCAAAGAAACGTTCAAAACGGCAGAAGAAAAAGCAAAGGAAGAAAGAGAAAAAGAGTCAAACTGCTGCGGCCGTGGAAGGAAGAGAGAGAGAAGAATCGTCGGACGATGGAGACTCAGATAACGGGGAAGATATCTAATGATACATACAATCTATCTTTGAGTTTGAATGCCTTCTTCATTTTGGATGATTCTTTTTAGTGTGTAATGTATGGTTCATTTCCCATCCATTGTTAGGAGGAGGAGGGCTTTCTGTCTTGTTCTTGATGTATCATCCTTGCCAAGGTTGGGTATTAGTGCTAACCTACTGACTCTCCCTTTAATATTTTGAGATTTTCAAAGGCCAATTAGGCATATGCAAATTTAAGTTCTTGTTGAAGATCTTTTTTTTTTTTTTTTGAAAGATTAGATTTCAAAACACTTGAAGGAACACCAGAATATAATCAATTTATGTTTAGTGGGAAGGTGCTCTAGACATCAATGTAGAGAATTAAAGGAGAGACGTAATTTGTACTGCAAAGTTTAATGAAAATTAAAAATGCAGTGTTAATACTCATAGAGAATGGTCCACGGAGGGCTTGATCTAGAGCTAAGCCCTGTGTGGAGTAAATATCATTTCTTCTAACTCTTCGAAGCAGAGGTGTTCCTGTATTCAGGAGCGGCTTTATGGGTGGTGGCCCTGACCAAGGTCTATTACACACATATATATAGTACTACTTTCGTCCCAGAGTATTTGTCCACTTTCATTTTTACACACCATTCAATACACTTGTTTAATCCATTTTTATCTTGTAATTTGTATATTTAAAAAATTATAGAAATTATATATTATTAATAATCTATATGTTAAGACGACAAATCAAACAAGATCACACATCACTATATTCAGGCTTACACATTGAGAGAATTTGATGAGTCAAAGTGCTTAGATGAACAGTTCCAAAAGTCAAAACTGGACGAATACTCCGGGACGGAGAGGGAGTATATACGTAGTATCTTTCTATATATTATAAATGGCAGAAAGGTTAGGTACCCATGTACTTTTCCTCCTGTTATCCAAAGTGATACATCATCAGGCTATATATAAGAGTTGTGCGCTGCTTATTTAGTCCCAAAATGCCCATGCGCCACATACAAATGCTAAGATACGATTCGTATATGGTGTAGATTCGGGTAATGCCTTCCAAGGGACTCTAGTGGCGGCTCCCAAGTAGCCTCCGCTAGCTAGACCGCCCTCGATCAGTCCATTCCACAAGTACATGCGGGACTAACTCATTGTTGACTATATGATTGTGTGACAGTCACCCAGTAGTAGAGGCTTTGAGACGGGATGACCATCCGATCCATCCACAAAGTCCGCCCGGTGCGTAGTGTTGCCAGTAGTTCTGGTGTATGGGACCCCCTTGTAAGGTTTGAGGAGAAACACATGAATGAATTCGGGCATGCTTAGGTAAAACCAAACGATGACTAACTCCCCAATGTTGGCTGCCACCTCAAAAGGGGGCCATAATATCGATGCGATAACTTATTAGAGAACCCCCGATGAACCAAAACTTGTCGATATGGTTGTAATTTTAGTAGAACCCAATCGCCAACCTTGAAGTGTAGCTCCCACCATTTATCATCTGCCATCACACGAATCCGCTGTTGTGCCTCTTCCAAATTGCGATGTAGTGTCCGTATGTAGGAGCTCCGCGTGCTCTGTAAGTAAGGAATCCACCGAAGGCAATGTGCACTCAACCGGGGTATAAGGCAAAAACAAAAGTTTGAGGGCATATTCAGCCCATGGCAGCAAAACTCTCCATCATCCCGGTTTAGTGTGAGTGAAAGCCCGTAAGTACTACTCAACTCCTCGATTCATTACCTCCGTTTGACCATCTGTTCGTGGGTGAAAATGGGTGCTTAACTAGAGGGTCGTGCCGCTTACCTTAAGGAGTTTCTGCCAAAATTTGCTTATAAATACCTTATAACGATCGGACGTTATTGTGTTAGGGAAGCCATGGAGTTTCACCACAATATCCACAAAAAGAAAAGCTACCCGGGGGGCATCAAAGTCCAATGGTAATCCACCAAAATGTATGTATTTTGTGAGACGGTCAACCACCACCAAAATGACAGATACACTATGAGGCGGTGGTAAGCCCACTATGAAGTCCATAAAAATATCCTCCCGAACCTGCAACAGAATCGGCAGAGGTTGTAAAAGGCCAGCCGGTGGTTGAGAGGAATAATTTGTAGTCTGATATACCAAATACTTCCTCCGTCCCACTATATTTGTCCACTTTCATTTTTGCACACCATCCAATACACTTCTTTAATCCATTTTATCTTGTAATTTGTATATTAAAAAATTATAGAAATTATATATTAATAATCTATATGTTAAGACAAATCAAACAAGATCACGCATGACTATATTTAGGCTTACACATTGAGAGAATTTGATGAGTCAAAGTGCTTAGATGAACAGTTCCAAAAGTCAAAAGTGGAAGAATATAGCGGGACAGAGGGAGTAACAAGCAATACAGTTTTTTACATTCGTCTGCATACCCTTCCGGGGGAAGGCCATAGCAAGCCACTGAAAAGTGCGATGCATGCTGGCATGCCCCGCCATAGGAGAGTCATGATACTCACGGATAAGCAGCTCGCGTAAGGGTGAACCCGCACCAATACATACACTGTGTTGAAAATATAAGAGCCCATCCATCACGCACCGAATAAGGAGGTGGTAAGTCGCCCCGCGCTCGAGCGTGTGTAGACACTATATGTCCAGCTCCGTAGTATTTACATGACGAATGGTGTCCATCTACTTTGGCACCGACGTGGACATGGCCAGGAGGCTATACAACGATATGTCCTCCTCATTCACCCGGGAAAGAGCATTGGCTACCCTGTTAGAAGCCCCCCATCTTGTACTCAATCTAAAAATGGAACCCCAATAATTTATGAACGTTAAATTGTTGATCTAGGGTTTGTGTAACTTGTTGAACCGATTCCTTCAAGCTACGCTGGTCCATCCTTATTAAGAACTCACATCCCAACAGATATTGCAGTCATTTTTGAATTGCTTTCACGATGGCGTATAACTCTTTATGGTAGGTGGAAGGTGCTAAAAGTTGTGGTCCAACCTTCTTGATAAAGAAAGCCACAGTTTGTTCTAATTCTACTAGAACGGCCCCTATACCCATGGAACTGGCATCTGTTTCAACCATGAATAACACCGAAAAGTCGGGCAGCCGTAGAACATGCATAGAGGTCATTTCCGCCTTCAACTCCTCAAAAGCCTTTTGGGTCGTGGCCAACCATGCAAAGGAATCACACTTTTATAAATCAGTTAGAGGCGCTGCCAAGTGAGAATTGAATAATGTCATACAAACAAACGATAATGCCCTGCCAAACCCAAAAAACCACGTAATTGCCGAAGGTTGGCGAGCGTTGGCCAATTCACCATGGCCGATATTTTGGATGGATCGACATTCAAACATCCGTTGGAAATGGTATACCCCAAATATTCAATAAAAGGTTTAAAAAGCTACACTTGAAGCGCTTGACAAAGAATGAATGATCCCAAAGCAGCGTTAAAACCGTTTGTAGGTGTGAAACATGGGCCAACACTGACTGGATGTACATACACAAGAACATCATCGAAGAACACAATCAAAAATTTGTGTAGACATAGCGCAAATTAACTGTTCATGCTGGCTTGAAATGTGGAGGGGCATTTGTAAGACCTAAAGGCATGACGATGAATTCATAATGACCCTCGTGTGTCCGAAAGGTCGTCTTATACTCATCCTTGTCATGCTTCCGAATCTGATGGTAAACAGAGCGTAAGTTGAACTTGGTGAAACACCTAGTCGCACCTAATTCATCAAAGATAAAAAAACTCATCTGTAAGGATTGGAAAATGATTCGGCACCGTGACGAAAAGAGCCATTCTTTTTCTTAACCAGTAATATTGGGGAAGAAAACAGACTACGGCTGGTGTGTATAAATCCTTGATCCCACATCTCCGTAAGAATCGATCTTCCCAATCTTTGTTTTCTAAAAAATGGGGGTAGCGATAAGGACACACATTAATCGAGGCTGTCCTGGCTCCACACGTCGAGGAGGTAACCCCGAAGGCATGGCGAACACTGTTTGATGCTCTGTTAACACCTTGTGGATGATCTCAGGACAATCATTGGGTGATGGCGAAGGCCTTAGTGCAGTCGTTGATTCCAGACTATGAAGTGAGTTACCAATAAGGAACTATATAATTAAAGGAGTTCAAAGTGACAAGTTAAACTTATGTATAAGACGATTCCAATCCTCGATCAGTCCTCCGTTCATGCGCCAACGGAACCATTGAGCTGTGGATCCCTGGCTCTAATAACATCAAAGTGACGCGATCTTCCGGAGGGGTTTCATAAAATTTGAAATATTCATGCACCTTATAGATAGAGCCAACTAATCGGATCCATGCATGCATGCCATCATGCACACTTAGGAGATTAAAGTTTTTGTTTAGGTGTGTAGCCCAGGGAGGGGAGCGACAACCGGTGTTGGACTCGAACACGTACTGATCCACTTAGTGTTTCTTGGCAGAGCACATAGCAGATCAAACGATTGGTTCATGGACGTCACACGCGCGTCCATCGCGGCCAAGGCGGCCGGGATCCGTAGATTCGTTTGTCATTATTAAACATGTTTGGCACGATATTTTTTATTTTGATATTCTATTATATTAACATTATTGTGAACCATTGACCCCCTAAAAAAAATATTTTGAACCTTTGAGTTTAGAATTGTGGGTAGCATATATTTTGTTTTTTTTATATCTAAACATATGAATTTAACTTAATAAGTAATGCTTAATAATAATTTGGAATTTTATACGGAGTATTAGTTATTATTAAATGTAAAATGTAAATACAATAAAAATAATTATAGTATTTATTATAACAATAATAGTAATAATAAAAAATAAAAATGGTTTCTAGCAAATGTAATTTGCAACAAAGAATGATAATTGTAGCAATTAAAGTTTGCTACAAGACACTAACTTTTGTGGCAAAGTATAATTTGTGGCATTATAAACTTGCTACTAAATACTCCCTCCGTCCCAAAAAGATTTACACCTTTCAAAAAAATTGCGTCCCACAATCTCCTACCCATTTCTATTAAAAAACCACTTTTACCCCTTACTTTTTCAAACCCTACCTATCACATCATACCTTTTTCCTAATAATCTACACATCACATCCTACTTTTACCCATCACATCAAGGGTATTTTTGGAAAGTCAACACAAAATTATCTCTATCTTAATTTCAACTTTAATCAAAACATGTAAATCTTTTTGGGACGGAGGGAGTATGATTTTTTGTGGCAACTAAAAGTTGCCACTAAACATGAGTTTTTGTGGCAAAGTATTATTAGTGGCAAACAATAACTTGCCACAAAAACTATGAATTGTATGACAAATTTAAATTTGCCACAAATGCCTTTTGTGACGGGGTATGTATGGTAACCTTGTAGCAATTAAATTCTAGAATTGCTACAAATAGTTATTGTGGCTAATTTTTTTATATTTTATGGCAAAATTTGGTGTCACATAATATCAAGTTTTTTGTAGTGTTGCGTTCGATCGGCATAACACCATCTACGTCAACCTCAACTGCCATGGAAACCACCGCAAGTACACTAGAGACAGCCGCCAGTGCACACCGTTCAAAAACTCTGTATGACATATGGTTCTTCCTCCATGGAGATCGAAGAACATGACTGTTGAGGAATATAATCACAATCACTAACCAAGAACAAATCATCTGACAAGGGCTGTCCTGCAGGAAGTGAACAATTTCTCAATGTGCAGGCAGTTTTTTTAAAATAGTGTTCGGGATGCTCGAAAAGAATGATGTTTGTCGTGTTCGTCTGTTCGTTTGAATTTAGTAAATGTTCAAAAAGAATGATGTTCTTTACTCAATTGATTATTCGACATATTTGAAAAGAGTGGCTTCACTGTCGAAGAAGAAAAAAAATTATTTGTTGAAGTTATCAGATTGAGATACAAAGTTTGAAACCCAGATTTGAAGCCTTGAAACTTATTCCTAGTGCCCTGATCCGTGCAGCTTTTATGAGCAAACTTTTAAATTTCATTAGCACAAAAAATTTGGACCCCACTGCAGAGATGGAGAGTGCATTGCCCCATCCTGCGCGCAGTTAATAATAATAATAATAATAATTGGAGTATTAATTAATGTTATTCATGTCGATCTGGAATACATATAATGAGAAAGATAGGTGGAGGAGTGGGCAAATACTGCATGCGGTCTAAAATAGCAACTACTCCCTCCGTATATACTATACTCCATTTGGATCTCCATTTTCAGTCAGTCACATATATGTGCTCTCAGGTTTAAAATCTATCTCACTCAATCGGCGTGCGGTTCTATAACTATTTTCTTATTTCCTTCCTTGCTAATTTGATTACAAATTGAAAGTTGCGAACAAATTTTCTTATCTTTTAAAATTATTTTATTTATAAATTGATACATCAATAGTAAATAAAAATTACATACTAAAAACTATGTCAAAAGTTCTACAAAACGAGATGTGATAAAAATATTTTATTTTATCAAATAGTCAATGAAAACACACAAATAAACAAAAACTATCGAAATGAGGAAAAAAAATTTGTACCCCGTATTCCGTAATCTATTTCGGGACGGATGGAGTATTTCGAATGTTCCAAAAAAAATTTCACTTTCCTTTTATGTTATTTTTGGTTCAAGGAATTATGTTTAAAAAAATCTCTCGTTTTCTTTGTCTGATTAGAAAGAATTTTAGGTCCACCATGGACTTTGATATCAACAAAATACGCATTTCCTTATTACTTTAAATAAGCATCTATTTTGATTTCTAATAAAAAATAATAAAAATTTTCTTATGTAAGAAGGTCTAAATAATGGTATGCACCCAAGGTGCACCATAGAACCACTCAAATTTTATTTTCTCACATCTTAGGTTCGTTCCCTAGAATTTTTTTTGTTTATTACTTATTCTTATTTAAATTAGATCAGGTCATATTAGATTTAATTAGATCAGATCCAATCAAATCTAATTAAATTAAATGCAATCAGACCAGATCCAATCTGATCTAATTAAATGGGACCAAATCAAATCCTATAATATCAAATTAAGACAAAAAATATAAAAAAAATATTAATATTCTTTTAAGGACTAAATAATATTTACAATTCAATTAAATATCATTACTTTATTTAAAGCTACATGCTCCTAAATTTTAATGAATATTATAATTTTAAATATGATATATATATATATATATATATATATTCATACTAAGAGCCTATTTTTTAGAGTTTAAGGTCTTAACTTCAAGTTCCTTTCTGTTTCTTCTAGTTCGTTCAAGTTTCTTCCAGTTTTTTTCAGTTTTTCCAATACTCATTATTATTATTTTTACAACTTCATAATATAAGTACTACAATTTTTTGTTTATTAACTTACAAGATAAAATAGAAAGACATCAACATTTTAAATTATATTAGAAAGTTATGGATACAATAGTTACAGGATATGTTTTATTAATCTAAATTGATATGAGGAAAACATCAATATTTTAAACTAAGATATAATAATGAAACACGGGGAGGGAGTACTACATTATAAAAACCAAGGTAGTTCTATATTATGAAAAAGAAAGAATGAACCAAAAACTGTAAAAAAATATATATATACCCGAGTATTTGATTGTAAAAAAACAGATATTATAATAATGTACCAAAATATGAAATTTATGTTTTATTCCCAAAAAGGAGTGACGATCCAAATACAATATCAATCATGAATTATATTATTTTATACTCTCTCTGTTCCCATGTTGATTACAAAATGAGAGTTACGAAGTAAAATCTCATGATTTTTGAAATCATTTTAGTTACAAATTGGTACATCAATAAAAATAAAATATTTATGTCAAAAAACTACATCAAAAGTTCTACAAAACAAGTGGTGACAAGAATATTTTATTTTATCAAATAATCAATGAAAACACACAAACAAAGAAAAGTTATCAAGAAGAGAGAGAATAAAATTGTTATCAAAATGGGGATGGAGAAAGTAATAAATATTGCATAAATAAATTTAGGTGATTATGAATATAATAATAATAATACTTAGAATAATAATAATAATTATTATTATAATAATAAATTATAAAAAACAATTAGAGTGAGAATAATATAAAAAAATATCCTTAAATAAATTTTTAGAGTTTTATTTTGGGTTTTTCATTTTTTTCTAATTTTTCTAGTTCCAATTTTTAGATTTTTAGAGTTTCTTTCAGTTTTTTTAGATTTTTTCAATTTAGTTCCGATTTCTTCCAATTTTATTTTAATTTGTTCCAACATCCAACCTTTTTTACTCCGTAGTCTTTAAGAAGAGCCCCTAAGAGCACTCGGTATACCTGTAACGCCGACCGGCGTTATGCCGGTTTTCACGCCCCGGGGGCGTTAAACACCGCCCCCGGCGGCGTTACTCGGGCGTTACCAGGCCTGCGTCAAACGAATGACGCTGCGGCATTCGTCTCCCCCTCCCCCCTAACGGCTATTTTAGCCATTGCACCCCCAAATTCAAAAAAAATATTTTTTATTATAAATTCAAACCCCCCCTCCCAATATCTCACACCTTCTCCATCTTCAATCTCTTCTTCTTCCCAGTTTTTAAATTTCGAAATCACCCCCTCTTTTCAACATGAATCCTTCCGGCTCCGGCTTCTTTCCCGACAATCTCGCGCCAAGTGACGCCGCGATGTGGTATTACCAAGAGTTGGGCGATCGACCGCCGATGTACGAGACACAACAATCGGGGTACGTCGACCGAGATTCGGTTCCGGAGACTCAACCGGAATCGTCCGGTTCGAAAAAAGTACACGCCGGAAAAGCCACAAAGCCAAAAGCACGTTGACCGAGGCGGCACGGTCAATCCAAAAGTGGACGCCGGAGGAGGAGTGCATATTGGCGTCGGCTTGGGTTGACGTCTCCGAGCATCCTATCATTGGTAAAAAGTTTATTTTTTCTAATATATTTATGTTTTTATTTATATATATTATATTTAATGGTGTCTAAAAAAATTGTGTAATACATTTTTAAAGGTTCGGAGCAAACGAAGGATGCGATGTGGGATCGTATCGAGGAGAAGTTCTTCACGGCGATGAAGAAGGACGACTTCTACCGAACACGGGACCAACTCACTTCCAAATGGAGCCACATCAACCGTAAAGTCCGAAAGTTTATCGGAGTTTACGAGGAATGCTCCCGGTTCCGGAGGAGCGGGACGAACGACGCCGATGTTCTCCGGCTTGCCACGCCCCGGTATCAAGACGATGGGCACCAAGGCAAGGTGCCCATCGATCTTTGGAGAATTTTAAGCCGTTCCCCGAAGTGGCAACAACTCAACAATCCTGATGGCGGATCGTTCCAGAAAAGATCCACCGTCGACGCCGAGGTTTAGGTCGACGAGACTATCAGTTCAACCGATCAAATCCCTCCCTTCAACGTTGCGGATTCCGATGACGAGGACCCCATTCCACGGCCGATCGGAAGAAAGAAGGCAAAATTCATTACCTATGGTTCGGGAGGGTCCGCCTCTGTTTCCGTTTCTTCCCGCGACGAAATCGGCCGGGAAATGGTTGAACAACTTCGGGCATTCAATCTCCGGGAACAAGAGAGGTTGAAGCTAAAGGAGAAGGATTTGAAGCTAAAGGAGCAGGAGGCCGAGATAAAAGTCATGCAAACCGACCCCGGGACGTTGTCGGAGATTGGACTAATGATCTACGAGCAAAGAATAAGAGAGATCAAGGAGAAATATAATTTACCTTAGTTTTTTTATTAATATATCTTTTTTTAAATTATTGTCGCTTTTTTTATTTAATTAATGTATTTTTTTATTATCCGTGTTTCAATTTACTTAAATAATAAATTAATTACATTTTATTAATCTAATTTTAGAAGATGTATATTTAAAAATGTAAAAAATGAAGGTTTGAAGCCCCAATTTGAAGACTCAGGGCTTCAAATCCATTTCCAATGAATTTTGGGTGTAAGTTAAAGCTGACGTGGCAGAGAGAAGGTTTGAAACCCCGGGGCTTCAAACATATTTCGAGTGCCCTAAACCATACATACTTTTTCAATCCTGTGCCCACATATTGAGAACCATAGTTAGTTATTTGGCTCCGCTTTATTGTCAGACTATACAACCTTTTTGCAGAGAATAAAGCTTTCAGGCCCATGACTCAACGCAGGGGGATAAAAGAAAGAAATCCCTGCCATCAAGAACAGAGTTCAGTTTCCCCATTTTACACCTGAAATATTCATTAGCTTATCTTCTCCCCCCATCTCTAGCTTGAGTGTAAGATATCATTCCCAAATTTAACAAAGATTATACTCTAATAATAATTCTCACCCTCTATGTCAAGTTGTTACCTCTTTCTTTAAATATAAAAGTGAAATTTGCATTAAATAGGACTAAAACTTAAGTCATTTTCCAATTTAAGACTTAAACTTTTGTATTCCCTAAATGAGACTTAAAATGTCTAGAGGGAGAAATAATGTCCAGTAATGATGGATATTTAGTTGAATAATGACTAATTGATAATGACTAAAGATCTTACATTAGAAAATAAAAACATATGGTCCTATATTAGCAAAGTCATTATATTTTAGTCCTATTTAGGTAAATTTCTCAATATAAAATATTTTCTGTGCCTATAATCACAAGTTTGAGTTCTTAGTTGATTTCGTTTATGATAAAGTATCGAAATCTTGTTGACCAAATTATGTTACGAATTTGAGACTCACTGCCACCCATTTTAGAAAAAATTAAGGTTCAACGTACAATGCTCGAAGCGACTATGCTTACACATGAAACATGTGTTTGAATATAGGGAAAAAGATTAAGGTAGAAGTAAAACATTAAAAATATACAAAAATAAGACTTCCATATTTTTATTCTCAGCTCGAAATAGGAATTAAAATGCATTCACATTAATTACCAAACATGATCATGCACATTACCAATAAGTATAGTAATGTGCACATGTACAGTGCCACATTACAACCACATTACCCCAATGCGAAGTCCTATTTCGGAAATAAAAACATAGAATTCCTATTGTGGTACTTTTGTATATGTTTTAGTCCTATTTAGGGTGATTTCTATTGGAAATAAAAATATTTTCTGAACCTACAATCATGAATTTGCGCTTTTGATTGAGTAAGTTCATTGACACTTTGATCATTTAGAAATTTTTATTCCATAAAGTAAAAATTAACTAATGCTAATTATGCGACAAAAACTTCTCTAAATAAATGTAAAATTTAACTAAAATATCAAAATAGGTGTGACATAGTCTAATTCTATTTGTAGGAGTGTAATGTGAGTGTGAATAGACAAATAAATAAAAAGGAAAAAATTCAGGTTGGACCAGGCCCGCCCATGTAAATGGGCTAATACTTTGTATCAAGTCCGACCCAGATCTGGTCAGATCTTTATTTACACAGGTCTATTAAAATCTTTCTTTTATCTTTACTAAAAAAAAGGATTTGATGAGCTCCATCCGCGAGAGACCCCTCAAACTCGGCTAGACGGTCACTGAGAGCAGGTAAATTGGACTTTAATATCATATTGGTGACAAAGAATAGAGCCTGTACCTGGTATTTGCAGAGAGCAGGTAAATTGGACTTTAATCACATATAGTTTTCTTCACAACGCAGTTGATAGAAATTGTACTCTGGTCTTACCCATTGACACCCCTTACCTTGCCAACCGCGCAACGTTCACGGGCTTCTCTTTTATCTTTACTAATTATATTATAGGTGTTTGTTTAGAATTGAAGTGCAATTATTTTTTAGTTATAGCCTTCAAAAAAAATAACTTCATAAATATCTATACCAAAATATCCACCTTTTTTTTATTATACAAGTACGTTCAGAGTATTGATGTTATGACATTTTCATTAATACCAATATATATTTTTACAATTATAATGATGCCTAATTTGGATGTTATAATATGACACCCTTAAAATTAAGATCCAAATAATATTTCGTTCGAAACATTAATAGTTTTTTCTCTTTAATCTTCTTATGCCCTCCTCTTCCCTCCCCTACCCCTGGTCCTAACCGAACCCACCCATACTCCCATAAACGAACCCTTAGTTTTAGTTCATTTTGAGGTATAAAATTTAACTTTAAAGTCAACAAAAATTGGAGGCTCAATTGATGGATGTGGAGAGATGAGTTTCAGTCGGGCCAAGGTAGATGGTTTTCTCTAAGGTTTATGGGTAGAATTTATCAATTTTCAAAAGAAAAAACATTATAAAGACTTCAATTTAATTGATGTCATTCTTCGAATAAAATAATAATTGGTGTCATATAATTACTCCGTATATTAGTATTTTAAAAAGCGGGGCGAGTTAATTACTCCGTATACTAGTACTCATTTAATTACTATAGTTAATGTAACAAGCAAAGCATTGTACTCCGTACTTCGTCCTACCGAGTACGGAGTATATTACTAGATGATAAACAAGAGATTTGCTTTGTTTGGTTTTCTATCATCAAATATTACACCAGTAGTCTTTTTTATGAAGTTCTTTCCACAAATAGTCTTTTTTATCTTCTGTCATATTAGTGTTAATTTGAGAACTAAAAGTATAATTTCACAATAATCATATGCTATTCTTGTCATACACAATATTTTCATAGGTTGTTCTTGATGATGCATCGTTTGTGAATTACTCCCTCCGTTTCTCAAAAGGGTTCCTCTTTTGACTTTGGGGGAAAATAAAGAAGTGTTAAATTGTAGTTGATTTTCCAATTTTGCCCTTGATGTGATAGTTTAGTTGTTAGTGAAAAAGTATGATGTGATAGGTAGGGTATGAAAAAGTAGGGGAAAAAGTGGTTTTTAATAGAAAAGGGAAGTATTTTAAGAAAAACAAAAAAATGAAAGAGGAAGGGTTTTAAGAAACGGAGGGAGTACAATCACTCTCTATGACAATCATAGTCTACATATGTAATTTTTTATCAAAATCCTAGTTCACAGTCATAATCATTATTGTTATATTGTTTGTCTCAAAGTCATAAAAAAGAATTACGAGAGTAATATTTGATAATAAAAAACTAATATAGAAAGCCTCTTGTTATAAAAGACGTGTAGGCAGGGCCCGCCCTGAAAACTGAAAAAATAAAATTGGCCAGATCCAAAATATACATTTTGGGCCATATTTTATTTTTTAGAATACTTATGCTTTAAAATTAATGTCAAATTAAAAATATGGAACCTTAAAATTTTAGGGGTCCTGTATGATTGGTCACTTTGCACATCCACCGGACCACTCATGCGTGTAGGATTAGTCTTACTACAACTAATAGCAAGCATGAGGGTTCCATCACTCCATGCTACCAAGAGGCACTGATTCAAACGTTTATTTATTTTTTGATCTACTCCCTCCGTCTCATTGTCTTTGTCCACTTACTTTTTGGCATACCATCCAATGCACTTCTTTAATCCATTTTATCTTGTAATTTGTATATTAAAAAATTATAGAAATTATATATTAATAATCTACTCCCTCCGTTCTAAAAAACACTTCCTCTTTCATTTTTTTCACTTCCAACAAAACACTTCCACTTTCTACTAAAAAACCACTTTTACCCTTACTTTTTCATACCCTACCTATTACATCATACTTTTTCTCTAATAATCTATCCATCACATCTTACTTTTACCCATCACATCAGGGGCAAAATTGGAAGTCAACTATAATTTAACACTTCCTTATTTTTGCTCCAAGTCAAAATAGGAAGCCTTTTTGCAAACGGAGGGAGTATATGTTAAGACAAATCAAACAAGATCACACATGACTATATTTAGGCTTACACATTGAAAGAATTTGATGAGTCAAAGTGCTTAGATGAACAGTTCCAAAAGTCAAAAGTGGACAAAGACAGTGGGACGGAGGTAGTATTTCTTTATATTTATTTATAATTTGGGCTGCACGCAAATGGAACCATACGAATGGACATATGTTTAAATTAAGGAAACTCTCAAATCTTTTTTTATATATATTCTTGTCATAATCGATTAAAGGGTGGAAGAAACAATAATACTTGGTTCACAAATAAAATGATCATAAACTTTACAAACTTACTATTTATGAAATTCAATAAATAAAAATAAATAGTCTAAAATAATTTTAAAATGAAAATTTAAACCATATATATTAAGTTTGGGAAGTTTGTGAGTATCTTGTTTGTGAACGTAGCATTGCTAATAATTTAATAAAATAAAGTAGATATGACACAATTTATTTTATGGAACTTTTGAATTAATTTTTATATAGTATGCAACAAATTGTATTTTTTATTTCTACACTTTTTTTATAAATAAAATTATTATAAAAGAGTTGCAATGATATTTTGAACGGTTTTCAAAATAAAATGATAATTTAGTACTCTCTACATTTTTAAAATCATTCCTATTTTGATTTTGGGCCCAAATAAGGATCAGGATGTATATTCATGGCCGACTTTTGAATTTTGCGCTTGATGTAATGAATAGATAATTAGTAAAAAGGTACTCTCTCCGTCCCTGAAAAGGTTTCCCTTATTGACTTTATGAGAAATTAAAGAGGATATTTTTGTATTGACTTTCCAAAAATGTCCTTGATGTGATAGATAAAAGTAGGATGTGATCATGTGATGGATAGATTATTAATAAAAAAAGTATGATGTGATATGTAGGGTAAGAATTAGTAAGGGTAAAAGTGATTTTTTAATTGATAAGGGAAGGAGATTGTGGGACAAGAAAAAAAGAAAGGGGAAAGAGTTTAAGGGACAGAGGGAGTATGATGTACTCCCTTTGTCCCATAAATCCTTTCTCCTTTCTTTTTTTATCCGTCCCACAAAACACTTCTCATTTCTATTAAAAAGTCACTTTTACCCCTTATTTTTTCATACCCTAACTATCACATCATACTTTTTTACTAATAATCTATCCATCAAAACATACTTTTACCCATCACATCAAAGAACATTTTTGGAAAT